GCCGCCACACACCGGCCCGGCCCGGCCCAGCCCAGCCACCCCTCCCCGCCGCTACATACAAACAGGAAGCGGCCGCACAAGCCCGCTTCCGGCAGCGACACTCACTTCCGCCCGACCGTGACGTCACTTCCGCTAGAGGGCGGAGGTGAGGCCGGGCAGGCGGTGGCAGGGGCGGCAGAGCCGGATTTTGGGAATCAAAACCACTTCACAGCGCGTCTGCAAAACTGTCTGTAGCGCAGTTTATTGTTACCACGTATTTTTTTGGATTTAGTTTCCCGTGAGAGTGTGAAGAGCCATTTCCCATCACGCTGATCACGCTCCCGGCCTTTGGTTATTTTACAAGGAATAGGATGCAAACAGGAGCGTGACATTTCGTCTAAATAGCCAAGATCAGTTATTTTATAACGTAAGCATCAATTTGAAAAAGACCTCTGGAAGAGTTTACAGCTCTTCAGGATTATTAATTAAAATCCCCAAATAAAACACCTGGGCTATTCACGTAAGAACACAACACTTGGAAGACCAACATAAAAGCATAATTTTATACTGGTGTTTTCAAAGTAGGAGGAAAAAAAAGCCTCAACCCCTAAGCCCAGCCATGGTGTTGGGTGCTCTTTTTAAAGGTAGCAGCAAAGTTAGTCACTTGTAGCCATCACCAACTTTGTCCTATCACTGACAGCCACAAAGAGGGAAACTTGAGTATTCCATGAAAAAAATAAAAATAAAATTTGTATTCTCCTCAGCTGGCTCTGGATCAAAGCCTGAACTATCAGATACTTCTGCATTACTGTCAGGTTTTATTCTTTCTTTAAAGCCCAGCCCCTGCTCCACCCTGTCAGGAGGAGCACCAGTTCAATGCTGCACAGAGCAAGTGTTACAGGTACCAAGAACTGCAAATGCTTCAGTGCTCTGAACATCTTACACAGTGAGAGCAAACAAGTCATGACCAGAAAGTCTCAGACATCAGTAAACATAGAACACAAATTCATCACCAGTACTTCAGCTTTGAAGGACACTGCTAGCATCATGCCTTGGGCTTTTTTTCACCTCAGCAACAAGCAGGAGTCCATTGCCAAACAAGCACGTGTGACAGGCATGAGAGATGGAGCTGTGGAGCTGCATCTTCCAGCGCCCTGAAGAGCCAGAGCGGGATCATATTCTAGACAAGCCCCGGATGCAGCTCTTACAAACCAGGAGGAAGAGTCTGAGTTGGCTCTGCACGCTGGAGTTCCTGCAGAGCTGGTTAAGCTGCCCTCCTAGACTGTGTGCTAATGAGGTACAAAGAGCCAAGAATAATCCAAGCACCAGGCTAAAAACTAGCAACAAAAAAACAAAAGTCATCTGAATTTAGGTAAAACATTCTTGCACATTCCCCTCCTCATTTTGGCTACCAAAAGTGCACTTTTCAAATAAGAAATTACTGTGCAGTGCAGTACAAAAGAATTTAAGCCAAAACTGAGAAAGCACTTTTTGAAAGAAAAAAACCAACAACTTATTTTAGATAGAAAACCAAGTATATGCCAAGCAACCCATTCTCCCTAGCAAGTCTCTGGCTTTTGTGAGCAGGCACCGTGGCTTCCCTTGTGCTTGCTCACAGTTTCAGCTGCTGCTGAAGGTCATGAATTGATCCTGCACTGCTTTGCAGTTTCTCTTGCACAAGTGGATCTTCTTCCAGCTTGACCGTTTCAATCACTCCATTAGTTCCAAGAACACACGGGAGACTTAAGAACACTTCACTGTTTATATTGCAACACCCCTGAAACAATACAAAATCACTTGATTATTTCAATTACGCAAGAATATCCCATCATATGGCATGTTTTGTGTATGTCAAATACCAGTTGTTTTATATCCTGTGCAATGGTCTACTCTTTAGAAACTATAAAATGTTACTGCACACATAGAAAAATCTTGAACCATGCCTCACTTGGAGGAGTTTCCCAATATGGACATAGCAGATCTCCATAGTGCAGGCAAAAGCTTATACTACAGAGCACCGTTTAACCAGGTTCTTAGGCAGCACAAAGAGGGACACTTAATTAGTTCTTTTAGGACTGAACAAAATAAATTTAAAAACGCAGCAAAAACGAGCTATTCAGGAAATATTTTTAAAGTACTGATCCCATATTCATTCTGTGAGAGACTTTATTAAATGTGTATCTCTATAATTCAAGTTTATACTGTAGATTAGGTTTTTTTAGGATCTGCATGGGAAAATTTACATTGTATAGTTACTCTGCAGTTTAAGAGACCTGACATTTCTCTGTATCTTCACCGAGTTCACAAACTATTACAAATTTTACTTGAAAACACAATGATTAAATTGGTGTATGTTTGTACTTCATACAATAAGCAGCCTGCTCAACTTCCCTGCACTGGGACATGCAAGTCCTCCTTTTGAAGTCTGTAAACACAAGGGACCAGGAAATATTTCTACATGTGATTTTTCCTCATGTGAAATGACTTAATGCTTCAACAAAGCCTCTTAGGATAAACTTTAAACAAGGCTCAGTCTACAATTTTAAGTTAAATGTAGCTTCATAATCTCCTCACTACAAAAGTATGAAGGAGTAAAAAAGTAGTTGTTTCAAAGCTGGTCAAATAAAATACTGACAGAAAATGCATTGTATACTTTCATAAAAGATACTGAACTCTTTTTGCCCCTGAATCTACATTCAATACCAAGCACTTGGAAACTCTTGCACATATACTTCTCTTTATTTGCTGAATCTGGCTATTCTGGGGGAACTGGTCAGCAACCTTGAATGTATTTTTCCTCTGGACTCTTGTATTTTTTGGCAGAATAATACTCTTTTAATACTGGTTTCAGATTAACACAATGCATTTTCTCCTCAGTTTTGGATTAGGATTAAAAGCTGTTGTTGGAAGAAAGTAACAGAAGTAGTGCTACTTCAGAACAGTTACTTAAGTGAGATGACTGTGCTGCTAAAAATCAATTATTACATCCAGTGTAAATAATATAATTGCAGTGCCAACCAAAATATTTTAGTAAGACATTCACCTTTGCCAGAGTGGATACAGAATGAATCCTTCTTTTATCTTTCAGTATACTGTCAGTCAAATCAGCAACTGAGAGCCCAACAGACCAAGATCTCTGACCTCTTCCCTTTAGAACTTCCATAGCTCTACATAAACCAGAAAAAGGAGAAAAATGTTACGTTTAGATTTTAACTATTCCTATTTTGGTTTATATGTAAAACCCCAAAGACAGATTAAGTGTACTGTATCAGGTAAAGTGTACTATAAAAACGTGATTCACTGTTCTGGAAAACAACAGGAGTGAATTAAGAATTGCTTTAAAGAATTTCTTTATGTGTATTTTACCCAATAGTAACAATATTCTTTTCTATCAAGAGGTGTAACTGATAAGTGGCTACTTAAATAAGTTAAATTAACCCAAATGTGTACTTTGCTTTGAAGTAATCTGCTTCCACACAAGCTCTGAGAAAAGTGTACAGAAGGCTTATCTACTATTTAAAAAAACCAACCAAAACCAAACACAATCAAACTGGCAGCTCTAATATTCTGGTGTATATCCTACAAAGCTCATTTTGTACTTAGATCATCACAGGCACGACATCACTGAGAACCTCAGAAAAACAGCGGCCATATACACATAGATAAAAGTGAATGACACCCAGACCTACAATTTCCTATAAACTCAACGTGTGAATATTCTAGAGTGAACTTTCTCCTCTTCATAAAGAGCTGAAGCAAAAATCTCTACAAACATCAAGGGTCTAAACACGAAGAAAAAGATATCACATTTAGAACGGTGTTACCTGTTAGCCACCTTCTCCCTTGAGTTAGGAGCAGCCATCGCTTCCGTCTGTTTTGCAACTAAGTTACAACTGGTCCACGATGGTACTAAATAGAAACAGCCAACATTTAAATACACATCTGAACAGTGACTAAAACAGGTACCAGATAAGGTGAGGAGAAAAAAATAATAATTCAAGCTTTCCAAATTTTCCTTCCCCCACAACAACCCAAATGCAGTTGATGACCTTTGAAGATTCCCCGGACTGCTGAAATAAACTCTACAGTAGCAGCTGACCAGAGATACTTGCTTTAAAATGAACATGAGATAATTCTTACGTTAGCAGTAACCTACCATATATTATACCACATCTTCTTCCTCTTTCTACCTCTAACCTATATTGTTATGCCAAATAAAAAGCATTTGAGGTTGTATTTTCCTATTTTTTTAAATTGTGTCATTCTTTTTTTATTTTACTGTTCATTACTCAATTACGTAAGCACTGCCAGGGCATTATTTACTCAAAGTCATAATAAAGTATAGCTTTACCTTTGTCTTCCCCTTGTTCACCAATAATCCAAGCATCTTTTGCCAGCGCCTGTGCTTTCAAAAGGTTTGTCAGTATATACTGAAATCTCTCAGTATCTAGGTTGGCACCTACTCCAATAACTCTGCTTTTGGGAAATGCACTCAGCTTCCATGACACATATGTCATTATTTCAACTACATGCAAAAGAAAAATATGTTGACAATGATGGAACGCTCAAAATTCAGCACAACTGCAAGCCATGAATGAAATTATGGAAATTATACACACAATTATGAAAAACTCAGGACCAAGTTGTATTAATTTAGAAAAGTTATAAGCATGTAAGAAAACATCAGTAGTTTATTTCAACCTAAAACACCAAGTCAGGTGGGGAGGAGGTGAAGAAAATCACAGCCCAAGTAAAGTTTAAAGAGAAGTCGAGTGAAACTGCAGCATGAATCACCATGCTTTCCTCTACCAAAAATCTCACAGCCTTCTAAATTTAATTCAGCTGGTGTTTCATTTCTTTTCATTTGGCAAGCACTCTTTTCTCCATCTTCACAGCTCTAAATCATAGAAAGAGTAAGAAGCAATTGAGAAACAGAAAAGAGCGGTCTTCAGTGTGTTTTCAGGACAGAGAGGCTCACAGGTAGCTCTTCCCCTTTCAAGTAGTGTTTTTGCTTGCTTATTTCACAGTGTCCTTGACCAAACAAGATTTAAACTTTCCACCAAAAAATACCTGCAGTACTACATTACGTGTATTAGTAATCTGTGAGTCTGATCATATGGCACGTAACACATGCATCTATCCTTACTGCACAGGAGAAACATGTAAACAAAACTCACAACTGACAAGACAACAGCCAATGGATTCTAATCTTGTAGATACAGTCAGGTGGAAACTACAGACAGAGACACACAGGAATACATACCTTTTATACAAAACAAAGTATACTATTTTCTTTTATCTTGGTAACAGTAAAGAAAAAACCCTCAAAGACAGTGTCCTGCTCAAAGCTGAAAAGGAAAACATCTTTCAGAGTAGCAAGCATTTTTGAGTAAGTGGGTGCATTCAGCAGTAACGTATTTTTCAAATGGGGCAAAGAGAAAGCCAGCTGAGGGACAGAACATTAGGCAAAATATGAACATACCTGGATGAGAAGCAATGAGGAGAACAGTGTTCTGACTGTAGTGTGATATTGCTGGGATAATTCCTCTAAACAAATCCACATTGCTTTGTATGACATCAAGATAAGTCTGAGCATTACCCAGAGAATTAACTGTAAGTACCACAACTTTTGAATCAGCTGAAGCGGAAAAATCTGAAAACATAACAAAAATGTGTTTTTAAAATGTGTGACATTCTATCAAGTTTTGGATGCAAAACAAAGAGCTGTCCTAAAGGCTTAACTACAGCATCCAGCTTAGTTAGGGACTCTTCCCCTCCCACATTGCCCAATGTGAAATTCGAGGAACTTCCACAGCACCTGTAAAACACCACTCTCACAGAACTACTCTTCCTCTTTCACATTTGGCAAACGCAGAAGGCAGACTGCAGTTTGTCCAAGGTTACAGCACAGAGACCAGAAAACATCTAGACTGGGCTGACAGATAAGCTTTTTTGTGTTTTCTTGGCAAGAGAGAAAAAAAATACATCCATGAAATGTCTCCTTCATTTTTATTTTGATTTTTAGAGAAGGGCAAAGACTTTTACTCCATTATCTGAGGCTTCTATAATTTTTGATCCTATAGCTCAAAGACATTAAGACAACCATAAAACGTGTTCCAAAAGTCTATTTATTAACTCAAGTAAAAGGCATGTATTTATTAGCCAAGAAAAAAAACACAACTACATTTGCTGCAGAAATCCCACAGTCAAAGCTGCCTTGAGGGAGTAACTCTGAATATCTGAGTACCATACAGGTGATCAGCTTGGACACAGAGACAAGGTGATTTGACTGTTACCCCACTTCTGGAACCAGCTGAAGCCAAAGCATAGGCCTAGTGCACAGACAAATTGGAAGCATACACTAAGCAGGATATAATTCATACCAGCTTGCCCCAAACTATAAGCATACTAAAATAACAGGTGACAGCGTATAAGCATTTTGTAATACTGTAACCATGCTAACAGCATAGCCAGCAACAACATACAAGCTTTTTGTACGACAGCTAAATGTACATCTGTACTAGGTAACCACAAAGGCACAAACAGAGATTTGCAGTACAGTTGCACAACCAGGATTCAGAAGAAAATGTGCTAGCAGCACAACCTGTGAGATAAGATCAAAGGATGTAGAGCAGGCAATGTCAGGTGCAGAGTAAACAGATAACATGCCTGGTGGAACCAGAACAAGTCTCTGTCCCCGAAATAAGATATATTACATTAGAAGAACAAGAGCCCCTCATTTCATCTTGCAGAGGGTGCAATGAACATGAAACCACCACAGAGAAGCAAGGAAGGAAGAACAGGGAAGTTACTCAATTCAGATCCAGCTTCCCCTGTGGAAGAGCTTTCAAGCTGCAGCACCTCAACCTCTGTGACCAAGACCATCAAAGACTGTTCAAAGACAATCACCACTAATTATGGAGACAGGGCATCAACTCTGTTGAACTGCACACTCCCACCCAACTGAGGACAAGATTGTTAAGAAGTAATTGTCTGAATATTGATTAAGAACTACTGGCCATGTGCAAGTTTAAAGAACATCATCTAGGAAAGTAGTACTTTGAAACTTACCTTTGTTTATCAGCCTTTAACACTCTCAGAGCTATCTCTAATTCCCTAACATACATATGTCTTTTCCCTTTTCCTTCCCTCTTTCCTGAGGGAAGTACTGAAGTACTATAGCTTGGCTTCTCTCTATTTCTGCACGAGTCAAATTTCAGCATTAGCCTCTTATCCTGGAAGTAGACTCATATACTTCTATAAACACAATGAAAAAACGCCTGAAATAAAATTGATGCAAGCTTTGCTGAACCTTCCCTTCCCAATTCTGCCCTGAAAAGAAGGAGGAAAGCAAGAAGCTATGAAATGATAAGATCTTCTAAAAAAAGATGGCCTAGATGCCAGAGCCTCTCTATCTCCCCAGGTGTCCTGCTCTCATTAAAACGAGCATACGCACACACAGTACAGTACTTGCTCCCATTCCAGCAACCACATCTAATACCTTTGCTGATCTCCACATTGGGCAGAGCGAAGATCTCCAAGTCCATGGTCCCTCCTTTTGCTGCACCTTCAGAAAGATCCAAAAGAACAACCTTGTCAGCAGCACCCTGTAGGAATAAAAATTATGCAGATCAATAATAAAACAAACAAAAACTTGTTCTTGTGGGGGTGAGGAATAAAAACCAGTATTCCTCCAATTCCAGCATTTGTTGCAGTATGTACAAACCGAACAAAATTACTGACCAAAATTACTGTCAAATGACAAGAAGAAGAATTGAGTTTAGTAAGTTTAACTGGAAAATGACCAATTATGAAAAAATCAAAAAAAACCTCACAAAACTAAGTTATAAGTGTTGATGTTACTGTTCCCTCTGAGCATTTAGCTGTAATGAAGTACAGAGCATCTACAGACTATCCTTTTTCCGGGACAAGGAGATCCCAACTGTAATAGGCCACTGCTCAGGAAGAATCCTTTAAGGATTTTAAAAATAAGTTAATTCAATACTCAACTGTTTGTATTTAAAGAGTAGGCTGAGAAAGCAAGGCAGAAACTAACACTTCTGTGTGTCCACAGGTTAAGTGAAGAGGTAAATGAAATAACTGTTGACATGGCAATTAAAATTGCTGAGTTATTTTTATGTGTCAGACACTAAGAACTAGGTTGGGAGCCTCTCTATTAATCAGGCCTCTCGCTGTTTATAGTAATGATGTACCTTTGCTGCAACTGCTAGCACACATGCAATGCCAAGATCTCCTGCTCCAACAACAGTAATTTTGTTAAAACATCCTTCATTTTTGCTTCCATCGATTTTACTCTTTGATTTCATGTCAGTCTCTCCTACAATTAAAAGAAAACCACAAACTTAAGTGCTGGTCCACACTGTATCACTACCGGTATTGCTGTTTCATAAAGGATCACGGCTGTGACAGGGTTAAACCAAATTGCATAAACTTCTTCAAAACAGTGGTCAAGCCTGACCACAGAAAATTCATCACAACTTGCAAGGTGTAAAACACAAATACTCCTCTCTGGAGAGGAATGTTTTTTCACACAGTAGAAAGTATGAGCTCAACAATATCAAGAAGGGTTAAAAGTGCACACTATCTGTGTGCACCAGTTGTCACAGATAACCATCTGTGATTTCACTGAAAGAAGGAAGAAATGACTGACCTGAAGCAAATGTGTCAGAATCAACAACAACAGGACTGGAGCCATAAAATGCCCAGATAAAGGGAAACCTGAGAAATTCAGGAATTTTGCCAAAGACTTAAAATTGCTGAGATAAACTACTGAGGCAAAAATGCCAAATAGCACCCGCTCCCGAAGGGTGTAAGAGACAAGTCCAAAATCAGCTTGTCACCACTGACAAAGAACCCCAGAGATATAATATGGGCTCAACAGGCAGCTCTCCTTGTCCTCAGTGTTGCACACCAGTGATGGCGGTCAGACAGGTCTCAGGGCTTGCGACTGTGGATGTGAGAGTGTGAGTGACTGAGATCTGAGAGAATGAATGACTGTGACTGGGTAAAATCAACTTGTTTACAATAAAATCACATTTCCCTTCCACGAGATCCCACATAGAGTTATGCTGCAGCAATTTCCAACAAGTAAGTAGTACGAAGTCTACAGTATTTTTCAGTAGCCTTAAATGCAAACATCCAAAATGAGCTGCTTATTCAAATAAAGGGAATCTGAGCTCTCAGTTCAAAAAGAGGCACTTTTGATTATATAGAGAAAATACCAAACACTATGGGCATGCAAGCACCAAAAACTGAGATATTAAAATAGCGTAGGCATCTTTGTGATATTGAGTAATAACAATAAATAAAACAGATATTGTGTGGGAACATCACAAACAAGCACATGAAAACATCCACACCTTCAGTAATCTTTGCAATATAGGAGAGAAGTTCCGATTGCCTGGCTGCATCAGAAGATGACAGTGAATACAAAGGAAGCTCTTCCTCAAATTTTGCAATCATTTCCTTGATTAATCCAACGACAGTTGATTTAGGCTGAAATATAGCAATGCAGAAGACAAAGCTATTTCATACAGCAGTATCAGCTACAAACTGCAGTATTTAATAAAGAACCACAGCTGTACAAAATTTAATCAAATTATAAACACTGACACCCTTAACGCTTACATAAGCACTTAAGGTAAAGAAAAGCCTGAGAATTTCTGTATCAATAATGAAAAATATATCCCATCCATTTCAGAAAACTAGCATTCATTAAATAATTTTTACTGGCTGGTAGTCATATTTAAGTAAGATATTTGATACAGTGCAGAAAATCATTTAGCAGCACCACTGGCTTTTGAATCTCTCTGTTAGCATTTCAGAGTTCTGCTGAAAGAGACATACCCTAAAGGTAGGTACTTCCACTGAACTTTCTTGAGAGATAATCAACTGGTCTACTGTTATTCACAGCAACAAAGGAAGAAGTATCAAAGGGTCTACACACAAGGTTCATACTGCTTTATAACAAAGTCAATCCCTCTTTTCTTCAGCTGAAAACAATTTTTCTTACAATCACTTATAACCCCCTTCAAAATAACCTCAGTCTGAAGGCAGTAGTCTAAAGGGACATAACATTCTCCTTCACCTTGCATAATCATTACATATTTAACAAAACCCACAGAAAACAAAAAGCCCCAAACTCTATCCACTCGTCTCCATTGATTTCCATGATACCATGCTTTATTCCCAAATATGCTCCTCCCCTGTCAGCCTTTCCACCTCTTACATGGTTCCAGTTTTGCAGGTAGGGCAAATAAATCCTGCCGTGAGCATCAACATGCTTTCCCACTGAAACACTCATGTTCATAGTTGGCTTCAAGAAGCAAATGGGGGGAGCAAAGGGATGAGAATCCAGAATCCACAGACGAATCGGTATGTTATAGGAATTACCTGTTTAACACAAAACAAAAGCCATTGCTAACTCCTGCACTGAGAAAAGGCACCAGAAACCAGGCATGTGTGCATGTGCTTCACACTTCAGAATAACAACGAAAAAAAGCCTGACAGATCACTTTCTAGAGTCACACTGGAAAGTATTTATGTTACCGAGGGTAATTAATAAAAGCAGACTTGTCTGGTTCAACTTGAAGTGCCACCAATTGTGTCTTTCTTTATATAAAGCTTTGTCCTTGTTTTGTTTCCCAGAGTATTCTATCAGCCAGCGTGTCCCCTTTTCCACGCAAAGAAATCTCTTACAGCTACCCATGTCATACTTATTTTAGGACTCAACAACTGATGCAAAGAGCATCAAAAGCTTTAAGTTAAAAATAAAAAGTTACCTACTCATTATTTTTGGACACTGCACATACAAGCAAAAGGGCTTGTAGAGTTCATGCAACCTCCATTAGAGCCAACGAGTTTGCCTACAGTCTCAAACTAAATGGGTTTTTTTTTGAATACTTAATTGGCTTATACCACCTTATTTCAGCACCAGCACAAAGGCACTTTTTTATGCACTAGAAGTGGCTTCTGCCAATTCATGCTAAATCCTTTATAGCAACCTTTAAAGAAGCTGCACAGTACATTATTAAGAGGCAGTCCCAAACACATTTTACAATTAGATTCGTAACTCATAAGGCAATTATATTTGACTTATCTTACCATATTTCACTGGAATAGTACCACTAAAATTCAGGAGGTCCTTCTGGGATCCATCCTTGAAGGCTGAAATTAAACATGCGCTTGTTAAAATAACAATAAATCCTTTTGAATCTGACATTGCAATCCCATCCACAATTACCAATATACAAGGCTAATTTTTCTTTAAACATCAAATATATTGCTCCTGAAAGAACCAAGGCTAAAATGTTACTAAGGTCCCCCTCATCCTTTGCAATAATTCCTTAATTGAATCTTAATGAAAATTGCATTGGTACAACTAAGCACATCATTAGTCTGAAAATTCCTCATCCTGGATAATTCTGGTGTCGTAGGAACTTTCAGTTAGGTTGAGGGATTCTGGAATTTACACTTGACAAGCTAAAGACTTCAAAACGCTTCCAATAGAGTGATGGGATATGGGAAAAATGCTGTTACATATGAAGTATTTAAAAGAACAACAAACTTCTATATTTACCGACAAGTTAAAATTAAATTAAGTGAATGCATCACTTAGGTTTTTGTATGTATGCATTCTTGGAAGAGCTCTCAAAAATAGTCATGTGGCATGCAAAATTTTACTGCAAGTCAAAATAAAGATAGAAACACAACTGAAATATATTCACACTTTTTAGATTCTATTATACACAGTCTGAATTCATGTCAAGTAAGAATCACAATTAGTTCAAAGTAACTATATCACTTCTTACTGTATGTGTTCATGGAGAACGTGAAGTTTGGGTAGGTCTTGTTAACATGCTTTAGTTCTTCTATGGTCAGGTCTCTGAACTTATACTGGGAAGGGAGGAGAAAAAACATAATCAGAAAAAATGTTTCATTTCAAAGGCTTTTTCTTTCATTACCAGTGATAAGGAAAAGAAACCAAGAGAAAACTGAAAAACAAGAAGGGTAAGGTAATAATTACTTGTAGCATTATAAATAGTTTTGGTGTGAAATAAATTATTAAAAATTTGATACAAAAAAAAGCTCTAAAGGTATCGTGGGTCTGCTGTTGTTACATTATAACAGAGTTTCTGAACCTCACTCCTCATATACTATTACTTCCCCTTTACAGCTGTGTGGAGAGGCTCAATAAAATTTAGTCTCCTCTGCACACAATAAATAAAACCAACATAAAAATATTACCTTCTTAGAAAAAAGTTGTCTTATTACTAAGTTACTAGTAAAAACTCAGATCCACCTGCATACATTTTAGAAGAATTTAATAAGATGTTGATTTCCACAAACATAGTAAACACGTAAGTAGTTAGTTTTTGTGACTTCTTTTCCATGTTTAAGCTGTCCTTGAGAGCTGACAAATTCAAACAAAATAAAGCATCCCTTTTTCCTGCCTGTGGAAAACCTGCCCACAGATTAACAGAAGTACTGATGCTTGACATGTGATGTGAAAGTAACTACCAACAAGAATGAATCACTGCTACTTCATTTAGACTGTCTCCAGCCAGTTGACACCTGAACCTCCAGGAGATTTGCATCTTCCCACATCTGAAAGTCATGAAGAATATTTTCCACTTCCTAGATCAGAGCACAGAGTTGTGCTGGAACCCTCGCCTTGGCAAACGCAACTGCAGCCTGACAGTGGTTTAAAGAGCTGCTCACTGCACTGGAATACTTCTCATGAAGTAGCAGCTAAAATCTACCACCTCTTCAGTAAGGCACTTCACCAGAAACAGCAGCAATCCTACAGCTCTGTGGATGGCAAGAGTATTTTTCACTTTGTACAAAATACTTTTTAGTCAGCTTCTCCACATCCAGTCTTACAGGAAACTGCAAAGTCAAGCAGTAAAACAAAACAAAACACCAAACCAAACCAAAAAACAACCAAAACAAAACACCAAAAATCCCAAACGAACAAAACAAACAAAACCCAAAGGTGCCCAATTTAGGAATGTCTATGCAACTTAGATTTTTAAATTTAGCACACCTTCAGTGGTGTTGATACAACTGGTTGTGAAATCAAAGCAATCTTCCCCCAGCTGACCCCCTTTCTTACTCATAGTGCAAAGTGAGGCATTCCTATTATATATTTTGTTCTTTTCTAAAGATAAGATCTTTATGAAGCAAGTCAGATAAGAACCTTTCTCATTTGGCACCTAAAAGTTATTTGGTATGGTCAAAATTTAAATATGCATCCCCCAGTTTCTCATATGGAACTTAAAACATTTTTACCTCACAGGGCTGTTACAAAAATAAATTTGTGTTTGTAAAGCGAGGAGAAACTAATGCACAAAATGCATTAGAATTAAATGCAAATGCATTAAGAGAAACTAATACCACAAAAAAAAGCCTCCAAGGAAATTAGCATCTCCTCACGCAAAGTTTCGCCCGCGCTGCCTGGGGGCAGCGGGAGGGCGGCGGCACCGCACACCCTCAGCCCTACCCTCAACTCGGCACTTTCCCTCCCACGCCCTCACGCTTTAACTTTTATCGACCGGGCGCCGGCCGCCCCAGACCGCACGCTGCATCCCTTCCTGCTGCGGGAAAGCCGCTCCGTTC